TGCCGGAATTTACGGAAACCCTCCAACATCCGGGGCTATTACGGGGTTCGTAGCCCCTGACATTTAAATTAGGGGAGCTGGCTGAGAACCCTAATTCCAAATCAACCAAGAGAAGGCGTGTGAAGCACACATATACCTTCCTGTTTGTGGCAGTGATCACCTGTTCCATTGAGTACTGATTTGTCTTGGGCACTTTAGAGATGTGACCCAATTCAAACGGTGTATGAACCGATTGACTGCACACCAGCTCCTAATGGATTACAGTTTTCATATGCGGCCTTGTGTAAACGAGGTCCTATCGGAAACCCGAGGTAATACGACTATCTCGCAAACAAGCTTTCCTAGAAAATAGAATCAGATACTTCACGAAACGTCTAATGGAAAGAATACTATATATAAGAGTATATGGGACTCGCAGGAAGATTGTCAGGTTGGTTGAAGGATTTTGTTCCTCAGAAGTGTGGTTCCGGTTGAAAATGCAAGGTGGAGCTGGAACGGGTTGCTGCGGCAGTGAACGGATCACCTGAAGAAAACTGATGAGGTGCGCGTCGTCTTTTAGCAACATTCGGAGAACACGTGGGTAGTCACTAACAGAACTTTTGTATTGCGGTCTCAATTATTGTATCTATTAGAGCAAGCCGGACAGTAATGTCATATTAAAGTATATATATATAATTATTCCCTCGTCCACCGATTCCAGAAGCCATTTGCGATATCTTGCACTTCACGGCATCTACGGTTATAACGGTCTAATGGGGTTTTCACCTTGCACCGGCCAATATTGGCGTGAAAACTTTACAAGCTTGCGGATCGACTTGCTGAAAGACGAGCGGTCGATAATGCTTTGTGCGTTCTGGCTCTCTTTCTACGGACCGTCCCTGATCAACATAAATTGCCTCCAAATAGTCTAAACCAACCGAGTAGAATGGCAGCAGTTGGCTGTTCTTTCTACTTATAAGCACTGGAGCCATAAGCTGACATCCTGGTTTATCCATTTGCATACTAATATGGACGAACTTGTTCAGAGCTCTCTTTACTGCTACAGTACCCTTGATTATCCAGAACCGTCCCCTAATTTTAGATAATACGTGCTCGGGCCCTCGTTCCTTTGCACGAAAGTGACATAGAAAGTTTGGTTACATGATTTCTTGAGATAGGATAGCTGGGTATCTCGCGTTTGGTGGCAAGTCCGCGCTACGCAGCTTATGACCAACTCGAAACACCCCATCTACTAAAACTGGACAAAATTTACGTAGAGGACTGTGCACGTGTTCCCTAAGGTTCACTAGCGGAACCTGACCAGCTGGGAACGATTCTGATTGAACTAGACGCCCAACATTGTCGCATGCTAGTTCAATTTCCTCTATCGATAGTCTACTTACTCATAGCGACAAGGCATCCTTCTTTCCAAACTTTGGACTGATATATTGCGTAAAGCGCCTGAACCAAGCTTTCGCTCGTAACAGCTTATACCAGTGCAAATAATAAGAAAGAAAGTTGACGTTTCTCGTGACAGTTATTTGGTAATAGTCACTGTGCGCTCAAGCTCAATGCACCCTTTGATTTCTTCAGCGTAACTGAATATGCGCAGTTGGGCTGACCCACGGGCTCTTTGGTTTTCCCTCTCCATATACTTTTGCACATTGAATCTCTTCAGGTTGTTAACCTCTCTTATCCAGGATTCCCAAGCGCGCCAGTTTTCCTCACCTACTGGTTCATCCCATCTAAGTGTTTTGCGATGAAGTGCTTGTAACAACACTCCCCGTCAAAAGCATTGGAGTAACGAGGTCGAAAGAATCATATAGAGAAGCAACATACCACAACAGTTCTCTTTTAGTTAATGGTTTCCGGGTTTCTTCAAACGGGAAGACGAATGCATCGTCAACAATGAGTCCATTCATGCCTAAAGTGCGCCCCTGGGCATCTGGATTCATATTTAGCTGTGCTTAACTAACCACCCTTTCGCCCTCGACTGTGTGGCTTAAGGCGTACTATGCACAAATGGCGACGGTGGCACCAAATGGGTAAACTAAAATCCTATATTCATTTGGCTGTTGATTGAAGTTTCACGTTGACCACCACAGGAGCCTTAAATCCTCCGAATCACGCTCGGGTACCCTAACCTGCAGAAATATTTTTTGTACGTCTGCTGCTATAGCTTTCTCACCAAAGAGAAACGCAGCAGTGCTCCAACTAGGTTAACTACGGTATTTGGTCCTGACAATAAGTGTTAGTAAGAACAGCTTCCTTGGTGTACGTCAACCAAATCACAATTGATCGACACGCAGCCAAAGTCTATCCTACTCCCAAAACAAAACGCGATTGATTCGTAGTTTTGTACGGTACTAGATTAAACAAACATTGCAAAATGTACAAGGAAGCAATCCTCAAATAAGCACTCAAATTGGATGTCTAACGAGGGCCAACAAGTCGATCACGTTACCTCTCCACGCCAAATTGAAATGTGGAGGATATCAAGTCAACAGATAAACAACTATGTGTTTGTGTTCACGTGTGCGAAAAAAAATCAATAAACAAGCGAGGCGCGAGCTGAGTCACATCAAGGGGAATCATTTAGGGGTTGGGAAGGATTTTCAAAATGCGCAGAATACACCGGCCGCCAAATTTTTCGCTGCGCTTGTCAGAATCTAGTTATTCTTCTCAAGCCTAACTAATCCCAGATGCCTCCTGTTTACGAGACCCATCGGATGGCACCCCTTTGGTTGGCCGCTCCCCAACTCCTGAAATTTGTATATTCAATAAAAAGAAGTGAATTGAAAAAAGAAAAAAATATCACTCAGCTTGGTACCAGCAAGGCCGGAGAACCAGAAGGTATAAGACTTTTAAAGCCAAAATTTCGCTTTCATTTCGCCGCGTTCAAGGTCCACACTCTATCTAGCACCTTAGATGGGTTGGGCGACGACGGGTCTACCAACTGTCTGTTAAGTTTATCGCGGGGTTTCCCAAAGGTGAGACCTGATTGAGAACAAAGTCGGTAACGAGCGTTAATGGTTTTATGTGACCTGCAGTATCAAGATGTACAGAGGGCAAAGCGCACGACGCAACTCACCGGAAATGATGCCATACCCAGTCCTCACAGCCGTCCTATTTGAGTCCTATCCGAGTCCCATTTGCACCATAAACGGGACTCGGATAGCACTCGAATGAGACTATGGGACGGCTTCCGAAAGGACTTCCCTACATTCTATTAAGCGTTGCTTACATTTCGCCCAGCTCGGGCATTCTTACTTACGA